GGCTAGTGCTCTACCACTTGAGCCACAGCTCCACTTCTGGCTTTTTTCTTTTTGTTTATGTAGTGCTAAGGAATTGAACCCAGGGCCTCATTCATGCAAGGCAAGCGCTCTATCATTGAGCCACTTTCCCAGCCCTTGTATAGAATCTTGTATATACATTTTTCTAATTTGGGGAGGGGAAAGGGAATAACAAAATGCTGAAACAAGGACACAGGATGACCCATTGCAACGATGATACCCACAAGATTCTATATTGGAAATTAACTTTACTCCTTTGAGGGGGAGGTGAACCAGGTAGGGAAAGGAAGGAATAGTGGGAGAACAACAAAGAGGGAATAACAATGCTTGACAAGAAACGTACTCATTACCTTACTCATGTAAGTGTAACCCTTTGGACAGCATCTTTGCAATGAAGTAAAATAAAAACTTATTTAACAAAAAATAAAAAAAATAGAATCCTGTTTTTAAAACATGTAATGGTAGAAGAATACCACTAGATGGTAGCGAAATCCCACAATATATATGAAAAGGCCTATCTAGCTTAGTAAACTATGGAAACCACAGAGTTAGTGTTTTATAATCAACAAAGAGTCTCCAGGCTTGGGTAATTGACTAGGACCAGGGACACTCAGAAGGAGCAGTCAGCATGCTGAATTGTGGGGGGAAGTCTTCTGTTTTTGGAATTTAGAGACTTGAAGCGTGGCTTTGCCTCTATTTCTTGCCTCATTTATCAGCAAAGGACATCTTTCAAGGATTGATTCATGTCCCCTGAGATATGTGTCCTTGGAGAAGTCTGTAACAAGTGACTGAGGTGATGTGAGGTCCCTGAGACTGTAGCAAGTCCTGTAGTGCTAGTGTCTTGAGGAGATGTGGCCCTGGATGGCTCTGTCTCTGTCTCTGTCACAGGCATCAAAGTCCTTGTGAGGAAATTACAAGAAAGTGAACAGTCAGGAAGAGAGTCTAAAACAGATGACACTCTAGACTTCCTGGCTTCCAGAACTTTGACTTTAAAACTATTCCATAAATTTGTCTACCAATGCAAGATATCTGTGTTCTCCATGGCAGTGCAGGGAAACTAAGTCACCAAACAAGCTCTCCCTGAGCAGGATCAGCCTTAGGAATTGGCATGTAGTTTGGACATGTAGTTGCAGACTTGCTTCTCTTCTTCCTGCTGCTGCAACCATGGTGAGGAAGCAGGACTCAGGTTCCATTCTCAGTGAGGTTGAAATCAAGAATGTTGCCTAGTAGTTGAATGTGTAAGCCTGCTTAGTTTTTGGATAAGAATCAGAAAAACATCAACTAAATTGGATGCATTACTGGTATTGTTTGTGAATGTACATGTATTTTTTTTCTTCTGTAAGGCACTGAGATGAACTTATTTATCCTAACATACTTTTCTCTACATGGCCCTCAGCACAGACTTTATAATGCCTCTCCTGACTTGTAAATGACATATCTACATACTCTGCGGAGTCAGGGTTGTGCCATTTCTTTGGATTCACAAAGCAAAGAGAAATCTATGTATGTAAAAATAGGAACTATTCTTTATTTGAGGAAATAAATTTATAATTTCAGTTTTCCCCATTTAGTATGATGGTGACAATAGTTTTGCCACATATCTTTTATTGGGCTGAGGTAATTTTTTTCTATCCATAGTCACTTGAGAGATTTTTAACAATCGCTTTTCTCTAATCCATGGCAACATTTAAACTTATTATCTTTATTTTCTGGTGCTTCTCTGTATCCAACTTGCCAAGAGCAATGACCACTACTGAGCCTCTACAACTACACACACCTGAGAAGAGCAGACCATCACCTGGTATGCAGTTGAGGGCAAATGGCCAGCAGGACTGATCAGCAACTTCACAATGTTCCAATCCTGAGAATGAAACCCTTCCATGCCCGGTTGTGTATCATGGGACTATGGTTCCTGAAGCTATACTTTGTCCTGTTTTGAGAGGAATTAATTCAAATCCTAGTGTTCTACAAGGCTTATGTATCTACAAGTGGCCAGTGCAGGTAGCTCATGCCTGAAAATCTACCTACACAGAAGGCTGAGATCCGCTGATCCCAGTTATAAGGCAGCCCAGGAAAGGAAAGTGCAAGAGACTCTTTCCTACAGTTAACCAACAAAAGGGCAGAAATGGAGATGTGACTCAGTGCTGACCTTGAGTACTAAAGCTCAGGGCCAAAGATCAGACCCTGAGTCAAAGTCCAAAGACAAACACACACAAACACACACAAAGTATAACAATGCACAAAAATTTAGTCATATATGAGTCTTCTTATGGTTGCACATTCTTAGTTGGGGGGGGAATCAAAGCATAAGATTTCAGTATTTCTTTTGAGCTGTATCATTTGTAAGTCATATACAGGATTGAAGTTACAACCTATTGGGAATTTACCTGTGTTAGTTATCTCCCCTTCCTTATAACTGGTATTTAAGTTTGGAAATTTCTTCCAGTAATGGTATCTCAAAGACTTTGCTCATTCTTTTTGCATAAGCAAGCACCAAAAGAATAAAAGAAATAACTTACAAATAACATATTTTTATGATGATTTCTTTGTTGCTTTGTATGTCCCTCCCCCACGGGATAACCCGTGGTTTCACTGTATTTGATGTTGGTATAATTTGGGGAGGGAAAGGGAAAAAACAAATCATTTAAATAAGGATACAAGTGGACCCATTTCAACAATGAGAAGTACAAGTTGTTATGTAGAAAACAAACTTTACAAGTTTGGTGGGGCGGAGGGAGGAGGATGGGGTGGTGGGACGGGAGGGGGGAGGATGGGAAGGGATGGGAAGGGATGGGAAGTGAAACAAAGGGGGAGGCTACAATGCTTGATAAGAAATGTACTCATTATCTTGCCCATGTAATTGTAATCCCTCTGTACAGTATTTTCACAATAAAAAAAAGAGAGGAAAAAAATAAATTGTTTAAATAGGGATATAGTTGGACACATTGCAATAATGAGATGTACAAAACATTATGTCGAAAATGAAGTTTACAACTTTGGTGCTGGGTTTTTGGGGGAAGGGAGGACAGGGAAAGGAGGGGAGAGATGGGAAAGAATGGGAAGGGAAAACAAAGGAGGAGGCAACAATGCTTGATAAGAAATGTATGGTATTTTCCCAATAATAAAGTTATTAAAAATAATATATACCACATATATGGTACATATGTGCACATCAGAGGGAAACCAGGAGGAGGACAGAGAGACAGAGGCAAACTGGGGACAACATACAACAGTGGGACCTATCAGCTGCACGGGACATTGATCATAACAAACTAAGCAACTCAATGGAAGCAATGGAGGGAATGAGCAGGAAAGAGGGATCAGCTGACACTAAGCAAAAGGAAAGAAATGTACATTTCACCCCATGTGGAAGAAATAACTGTATTGTCAAAGCCCATAGAATTAACACACTTTATAAGCCACAATAAAGATAATTTGCCCCCACGAAGGTTAGAATGGGTTTGTGAGGAAAGTATCACTTACTTCGTGACTATAACAATCCTGTGAAATTTGTGAAATTTATGTAATTACTTAATCACAATAAAAATTCCTATAATAAATTTTAATAGAAGAAACTTTTTGTGTAACCCATAAGAAAATGTCACAAACAGTGGCCAATAGCAACTAATATGCATGTTCTTCAGGCTCTAGATGGGGTAAGTGGAATATGAATTCCTCTGTACAACTCTGAACCAGCATTCAGTTACTTAGTAGATTCTGATGAACCTTAAGAGAAGACTTAATCTTGAGTGTTTGTTATACTGAGACATGAACACAGCTCTTGCTAGGTCCTGCTATGAGGTGTGGAGTCCTGGCTGTGGCTCCCCACATGGAATGCAGGCAGGACAAAGAGGGTCTAATACAGAGTTAATAACTTTTCCAGAAGCAGAATCTGTAGAAAGATTAAAAATAGATGTTATAGTAGTCTGACTACCTAACTGAATGTAACTGGTGTTCTTGTTCATACTGTCTTATAGAAGAGAGAGAGAAATATTAAGAATGCTGCTGTTAGTCTGAAGAGTTATGCTGAAGGAGTGTAATCCCATATTTATTATGAAAATGACTCTGTAAAATTTAGTTTTCTCTGCCATTTTCACTTTCATTTAGAAATATTATTAATTAAGGAGAATTTTTTCCTCTGGGTTATTTTGTTATGATATAAGTGATCATAAGGAACTTAATTTATTAGGCCCTATATGAAGAACCTTATTTTTTTTTTATCACTTGTAGGGATTGAACTCAGGACCTGGGCGCTGATCCTGAGCTCTTTTGCCCAAGGAAAACACTCTGCCACTTTCAGCCACAGCACCACTTCCAATTTCTGAATGATTAATTGGAGATAAGAGTCACAAGGGGAAATTTCAGCCTGGACTGGCTTTGAACCATGTCCTCAGAACTCAGCCTCAAGAGTAGCTAGGATTACAGACATAAGCCACCAGAGTTTGTCTTATGAAGAACATCTCTAACAGTTGTTGATAACTTGCTCATCAAAAGTTAACTTTGTTTCAGTGATGTCAGATTAACTCAAGTAGGTATTTGATTTCCTTACCTAGATCAGACCACTGTAGTATTGGATAGAAGTCCTGAGAAACAATGGCAAATGAAGTCTGTGCACAGTATCTTCCTCTAGAATAACTAGAAGAGGGCCAATCAAACTAACCGTTCACCAAGACTCCCCTGGACACACATTTCAATTGAATTGGGCCTCTAGTGTTTCAAGTTGCAGGGTCAAGTACACCACCTCCTCCCTGCAGAGCCAGGCATCAGGGGAGAGGGGTCCTTCTACCCACTGCTGGAGCCAGCCTGGTATTTGTGGGTCTTTCCTCCAAACACAGAAGAAATTTAAGTCACTTTCTTCACAAGAGAGATGCCCTTGCCCTCTGCTTTGTTCTTCTCACACTGCTGCACCCACCTGCTGATTTGCATAGTGCTCCCCAAGGAGAACTTTCCAGCCCTAGTTTGACATAAAAGCTCATCTTGACCTTGACTTCACTGATCAAATCTCCTGGATTCTCAGCTAAAATGAGGCTCTGTTCTTGGGTTCTGGGTCTCCTAATGCTCTGGATGACTGGTAAGGGCAGAGGGAGATGAGGATGGAAAAGGGGGTTGAGGGTGAGCCCTCAGGGCCACTGCTTCTTGTTTGTATTCTGTTCATGGGTTAGATGCACAGAACTTGTCTTCTAGAATGAGGCAAGTGAAGTTAATTATATGAGAGTGATGAACGTTCTAGATGGAACAAGTTCCTGAGCTTTGGTGACAACTGTGCAGTGGGTAGTATACATGAGATCTAGAACCTCATTTATTATTTTGATATTTGTATATATTTTGAAATATTGAATAGTTTTAGGATAGGAGGGAAACCATGGAAAGGATTGGGAATTAATATATAACCACAGAAAAAATTATTTACCACATATAACCTTGTACTTTTCATTTATATTAATTTCAGGGTCCAATGGCGATATTATAATGACTCAGACTCCACTCTCCCTGGCTGTCACCCTGGGAGAGACGGTCTCCCTCTCCTGCAGGTCAAGTCAGAGCCTCTTATATAGCGATGGAGATAGCCTTCTGTATTGGTTCCTTCAGAAGCCTGTCCAGTCTCCACAGCGATTGATCTATTGGGCTACCAACCGAGGATCTGGGGTCCCAGACAGATTCAGTGGCAGTGGGTCAGGCACAGATTTCACACTGCAAATCAGCAGGGTGGAGGCTGAGGATATTGGGGTTTATTACTGCATGCAAGGTATAGATACTCCTCTCACAGTGATACAGTCCTTAACAAAAACATCTCTGTAGGGCTTGGCCCAGCTGTCCTATTTCAAAGCTTGTCTGGAGAGCAGCATAGCAAATTCTCTGAAATGAAGCAGTAATCTGAGTTTGGAGGACTTGACAGAAGATGTCATACCAGAGAGCTTGTCCAAGTGGGATCGTGGATTACTTCAGCTTCCAGGGACTCCCAGAACCAGAATGTATAATGTTACTGCAAAAGTCAATTTATCACTTATTACCAAATGTGAAAGACAAAGACAAAATCATCTACCAGAAGCATGCCATTTCTATAGTTTGGATAGAATTACAGAGTCAAATCCCATGCAGAATGACTCAAGAAGCAGTAGTAGCTAGGAATTGAAGAATGAGTCACAAAGCTAGGCTTAAATGTGAGATGGATTTTTGAAATAGGAATGTTACTGAATATCACCAAATAAATAGAATATGTTGGTTACATACAAAAAAATTAATTATATGTCTCAGATATTAAAAGCTTTTTGCTTAATCAACACATGATTCTGAAAGTCCCATTATTATTTTTTATTTGTGAAAATACCATACATAGGGGTTACAATTACATGAGCAAGGTAATGAGTACATTTCTTAACAAGTATTGTTGCCTCCTACTTTGTTTCCCCTTACTATCCCTACCATCCCCTCTCCCCACCCCCACAACTGTTGTAAACTTTATTTTTCAACATAACGTCTTGTACATCTCATTGTTGCAATTGGTCCACCCATATACCTATTTAAACAATTAGTTTTTTCCTTCCCCTCCCCAAATCATACCAACATCAAATACAGTGAAAACAGAGGTCTCCTTGGCACAGGCATATTTTTATTTAACAAAGCTACAAATTGAAGTGTGACACTGCATAATGCTATGATCCATGTCTGTTTCCTCTGGTCCTCCTCTTATGGAGGCCTTTTCTCACCTGACTCTTAGAGGTTAGAAGATTATGATCTTCCCTTCCAAAAATCTACCATTAACTGGCAAACAAGGCCCACAATGAGCAAAGGCTTCCCCTGAGACTTGAGTATGTATTGGATTTTCTCTCAGAATATGCACAGACCACTCAGACATCCAAAGCAGACCCCTGCTATTTCCCTCAGCACAGGTATCATCTTAGGAAAGGACCATACTTACCAGTTTCTCTATTACATTTAAGTTCTCCTAATCCCTCTGTCACTGATAAATCGAAAATATCTCTACTTCCCCTGGTGGTAAAACATGAAATAGCCTCATAGCCACAGCTGTGCTGGGAGAAGTTCTATACTTACTGAGTCCCAAACAGAAAGAAAACATTTATAAAATTATCCACTGACTATATCATGAGCTTTACTAGGGAAGCATTTGAATATCTAAAAGAACCACAAACCACACAGAGAGTTGGTTTTAGTGCCAGGGGCAGACAATACTATTGAACAAATGCTATTTCTGGCAATGCGCCCTCTCTGCTCCTGCCAACACCACTCCATGAAGCAAGGCGATGTCAGGTGAGACAGGGCTTATCCATGTGTGTCCTGATTGACCTGAAACTCTCCATATTCCTTCCTGTGTCTCCCTGAGTGATTAGGATTACACATAGGCAGTGTCTGTGGTAGAAACAGTCTTTTCATCTCAAATAGCTTATATGTGTATTTCACAGGATGTCAGTATCTATCAATGTTACACCTTACATCTTAAATAAGAATCCTACTTTTAAACAGAGCTTTGAAGGCATTTTAGGAAAAGAATAAACACAAAACACTTTGCCCTGGTTTGCATGGCAGCTAGCCTGTGAGACATCAGTGACACAGCGACCCTGAGATTCCTGTGTGCAGATCAGCTTCTTACTCTATGCTCACAACAGATCTTTTTTAAAATAAGCTTTTTTATTTTGAAAATACTGTACAGTGGGTTTACAATCATATGAGCAAAGTAATGAGTACATTTCTTATCAAGCATTGTTGCCACCTCCTTTGTTTTCCCCTACCATCCCTGCCCTTCCATCTCCACAACTACATTTCCCTCTCTCCTCCCTCACCCCACGCCTAAATTATAAAGTTCATTTTTTGACATGGCGTTATGTACATCTCATGGATTAACCTGTATCCCAATTTGAACAATTTGTTTTTACCCTTTAGCTCCCCAAATTATACTAACATCAAATACAGTCAAAACAGGGGTTTTACCATGGGGAGGGTAGTATAAACTACAAGAAAATTACGTGGTACATGTTAAATAGTTTAGAAACCATTGCAAGGAAGAAAAAAAAACACCTGTGTCCCTGTCGTGTGGTTCATTTCACTGACCTTTTCTGCTTGTCTCAGATATATACTAGTTATTGTAAATAAGGGAACCCATGGGAATTATGTTTCTTTGGGCCTGGCTTACTTCACTTAATATATATTTTTCTAAGTCTTTCCATTTACTAACAAATGGGGCAATAACATTCTTTCTGGTGGAGGCATAAAATTCCATTTTGTATATATACCACTTTTTCTTGATCCATTCATCTCGTGAGGGTCATCTGGGTTGGTTCTGTATCTTAGGTATGGTAAATATAGTTGTATTAAAAACATGTGCTGGTAGCTTTAGTATCGTCTACACAAGAGATCTTTATGTTTATGATTTCTACCTGAACCCAGGGCATAACAGTATTATTAAACAAATAATTTTTTTTAATTTAAATTTATTTTTTTATTGTGAAAATACTGTACAGAGGGGTTACAATAACATGGGCAAGATAATGAGTACATTTCTTATCAAGCACTGTGGCCTCCTCCTTTGCTTCCCCTCCCCATCCCTTCCCATCTATCCCCACATCCCCCCACCCTTATTACAAAAATTGTGAAGTGGTTGATCTCCACCCTCATATTCACTCTTCTTTCCTCCTGAAACATAGCCATTCCTAAAATGTCTTGGTCTCAAACCAAGGTGTCAGGACGTTGTGTGCACCAGGAGTGGATGTTTATCAAAAGACAGGTCCATCTTCAAAGTTCCTCTAATTAAATGCAGGTGAATAGAAAGGTATGAGTTTTACAGTTTCATCATAGCTTCCTTTGGCTTCAGAAGTATCATATTTCAGGCCTCAGATACATCATAACTGGGGTCGAAGTTCGTGAATCTCTCAAATCTAGATCCACATGCAGTTCATTTAGTGAAGGATGATGAAGAGAACTCTGACTTTGGCAGGGACTTTCCCTGTGTGTGAGCTTCTGACTATGAGGAGCAGTGTTATTTTGTGTACCTGCAGCAGCTGCTTGAACTCACAATGATGAGAGGTTGATTCGCTGTCATGTAAATGTCCTGCTAGTTGCTCCCCAGATGTGTCATCTTGCACTAGGGTGGACAGTGTCCCCTATGCTGGTCCTGATGTGGGAGCCTTCCTCACTGTGCTCTGCCTTCACTGTCTGTGGTAGTTTTTCCTTGCTTCCCATGCTAAGGATGTCTTCTCCATTCCTTGTGGCTTCATTGCCTTGCTCACCCTTTACTGTGTTTCCTTTCATCAAATCTGGATCTGCTGGGACCACAAGTTCTAGAACAGTTACTAAAAAATGTTCTGAACTGGAAGAGATGATAGCATAAGAACATGAAGGTTTATGAAGCAGGAGAGACTGAAGTAGATGTGAGTTCTTGGTTTAGGGAACATCTTACCTTTGAAGGGGGTGTTTTGGGGCTTTGGATAGGAGACAGGAATTTTACCTGAGAGATTTGGAGACTGCTAGCTCAGAAATTCATGAAGATCACCAAGCTACATATATAGCCATGTCTTTTAAATCTTTCCAACCCTGTTGATTTTCATGTGCCCTGAGCACAGCCCACTGCCCTGAGAACTTCTTCAGAGGCTGCTCACACCCTATGCAGGAGAAGGTTCCAGTGACCAAAGAGCTTGCACATGAAGGCCCCTGCTCAGATCCCAGAGGTCCTGCTGCTCTGGCTCCCAGGTAAGAAAGAACAATGCTGGGAATTACTCATCTCATATTAACAGAGCAGCTTAAGTCTTCCTGGAAGTACTTGGATAATATAATTAATTAAATGACTAGTCTTTTTAATGTTTCCAATGTCATGTGCCCATTGTGATGTCCAGTTGACCCAGTTGCCATTCCTGCCTGCATCTCTAGGAGAGAGAGTCCACATCACTTGCAAAGCCAGTCAGGTCATTAGCAATTATTTACATTCTTACCAGCAGAGAGCAAGGATAGCTCCAAAGCTCCTGATCTATTCTGCACCTACTTGGCAATCTGGGGTCCCATGGAGGTTCAATGGAATGGATCTGGCACAGAGTTCACTCTCAGCATGAGCAGCCTGCAGCCTGAAGATTTTGCCACTTACTACTGTCAGCAGGGTAATTATTTACCTACCCCTGTGACACCAGTCGTAACAAAAACCTCCCAGGGAAGCAAAAGTGAGAGCCTGGGCTGCCCCAGATGCTTATCCTGGTGCTTCCAACTGCTGAAAGAACATCTCACATACAGCCCCCTTTTTAAGGTCACTGGAAAGCATTGGGAGATAGGTTCTGGAGTCAATTGCATACCTTAACTGTCTGTCCTCCTGCTGATCGCAAGCAGCACACACCTGACACTGCCTCTTCTGTGACTTTCAAAGAATACTGCTCTTTACTCATGTATGTTCCAGTCTGTCCTAAAATTCTGCAGTCAGTCAATAATGAAGCCATTCTAGATATGTCAGGGTTTTTAAAGGCAAGGAAAAATACCTTGTGAAAAACATTTTAAAAACAATTGTTTGAAGAAATATCATAGTTAAAATTTATTAGAAATCAATTTTAGATTGCCGTGGAATAGTTTTATTTGAAGTACAATATGATGTAATAATAATGTAATAAAAAAATAATGTAATAAACAAGTGAGTTCAGTACCTTAAACATTTTAATTCCCTGTCAGGGAATTTTTTTTCAGCAAATGTATTTTTTTAAATACTGATATCAACTCTCATGTTAAAACATGCAACATTTTAATCTGGTTTTCAGAAAAATAATTTATTTTGATACAGTATCATATTATTGTTTTACATTGCCATGGTCTCAACTTTTGAAAGAAAAGTGGAAAAATATGTTTTTAAATAACTTCAGAAAATATCAAGAAAAAATTAACTAAAACTTTGTATCATGTTTTGAAAGGTTTGAACATATTTTTCTTCAGGTGCTTGATCTTAGAAGTGTTATTCAGAGGGCAGATATTCAAAGCACCCTTGGCTTCTGGCCTAGTTCACATAAATCCAAACTAAAGAATGAAAATAAATATACGAGAATGAATAAAATACATTTAAGACACTTGTGGAGTCATGTACTAGGTACAGCTACATAGTGACCCATATTATATGTATATTTTTCAGAGTAATCAGAAGTGACTTCCATTTATCATACAGACATTCTGAGAGTCATAAGTTCACATTTAGTAATTAACATGCACTCTTACACATGGAAATGTATATGGAAGGGAGGAGCTGGATTGGGATGGATGGTTCAGAATGATGAAAGGTTGATAGGTAAAGATGAATTGTATTTATAATCTTGTAGGTTTAGTGGACATCATTTTATACAGCTATTGATAGATATTAAAAATAGAATAAAGATAAGAGATGTGTATGGAGTTCTCACTTGTCCACACTCTCACCTCTGTCCAAGTTCCTTGCATATTGTGGATCGATAGGATTGAGTCCCTTCCACCTTCCAATCTTACATGTGATTAGAAGAGGTCTCATCTCATTCAGAATATAAACAGGAAAGCAGAGAGGGAGAGCAGTGGTGGGAAATGTATTTCCTGAAGAGACTGTGGTGATGGGAGCCCACAGCTGATGACCCAGTGAAGTCACAGCCCAACTCTCAGAATATATCTAGGAGGGCATTGCCCAAGACCAGGTACACACATGACTCTTCCTATTAGCAACTGGTAACCATAGCAAGAGTCTCCGTTCATGGAAAATGAGATGAAATATGTAAGGGGCCATTCTCAAATAGAAATATTTCTTGACAAAAGGAAGCAAACACAACTAAACATGTATGTAGTATTATTTTCTTTCCTACTCAGAATGTGTTCAGAATTCAGGATCATCAAAAGCATCCCTGAGAGCATGTTATAAATACAATATTATAAAACCACTTCACACCTACTGAGTGTTAATCTTCCCTTCAGCAAGTTAACAACTAATCTCTGTATGGATTAGGAAGTTGTATTTAGAAGAAGAAAAGTGTCATTGGTAGAGAGATGCTTTGTACTCCTCAATTAGCCTATTAAGAGCACTTCTATTTAAACCAAATTTCTCTCTCTCTCACACACACACATGTGTGCACACAAACATGACACACTTGTGTCAGTCCTTTAACAAAGTAGCTGACATAAACTCTGAATAAAAAAGAGTTTGTTTAACTCATAATTTTAGATGCAGAACATCCCTGATGCTTTATCTTCATCTGTCTTTACTCTGAAGACTCTCTTACATGTGGTACAATATGTTGTGTTAATAAAGAGAGAACCAGTTGTAATTTGAGCTGGCCAAGCTTATGGTTGTCTTCCTTTGATAGCAGGTGACTATTATGAGAACTGCCTCACTGCATGAGAGTATCTTTAACCCTTTGGTGAGCAGTGGTATAATCTCCAATCCAATAATATAATCACTTCCTACAAGTCACCTCTTCCGTTGGCCAGGTTCATCCATTGGGGCAGCAGTACAAACATCCTGCATGTGCTCTTCCTTCCTTCAGGTGAAGTAGAGACTAAAATCTCTAAGAAAAATAAATAGAGACTGGTTAAATTAGATTGGGACTGGAGACATTCAGAGATTTTATGTTAATATAAGATAATCAACATTACATATACATATATATATATATATATATATATATATATATATATATATACCATTTCAAGTAGTTACACAAAGTGGTCTCACCTCAGTATGTCAATTTATAAGTACATTATATTTTGATCCTTTCACCCTTCCATTAATCTCCAGAGGAAACTTTAAGAAGTCCTTTGATCAATTTGCTGTACAAATACATTGTAGAAGAATGACAAGATAAAAACTGTTACATTGAATTCACACTTTCAAGTGCAATAATTTCTCCCATTATGTTAAAAGACCATTAGGGTACTTACTACTTATAAGAGGAAATTTTGTTATCCTTGTCAATTCTATACCCTACATCTTAATATGAAGATCCTGGCAAATAGAGGTGCTAGCATCCCTAAGAGATAACTTGGTAACTATGGTATGCCTCTTCATCTAGCTCAACTCTGTGCTTTTATTGGTCAACTATTTTGAGAATCAGTGTTGCTAATGCTTGACACTGTGTCTTTCTCTAGACTAGATGAAGGAGGAATGAAGTACCCAGGTACAATGTCCATTCCTTTCCTAGAGTCTCTCCTGGACATAAAGCTGCATATCATTGGGCCTCTGATGCTGTTTTAGGGTAGTGGGGTGAAGTGCACCCTGTTTTTCCCTCAGTTCCAGATATTATAAATGGAGTCCTTCATTCCATGCTGCAGGCATCATGGATTTTATTGGTTGTCACCAAGTTTAGAACACATCTGCTGCTACTTTTCTTAGAAGAACGAGCCTTACCTCCCCTTGACTCTTCTCACACTGTTGCCCCAACCTGGCTATTTGCATACTGCTTCCTAAGGAGGACCTTCCTTTCTAAGTCTGAGATAAAGGCTCAGCTCTGAACTTGTCTTGACCTGTCAAAACTCCTCATTTCATTCCTAAAAATGGTATGGATATTTAAAAAACAATGGGGAAAAGGAAAAATTAAAAAATGCAAAATATAAGAATATATATAATATATTGTAATTCACTTATGGAAACATGTAAGGAATAGTTAGCATTCACTTTATCCATATTAGAGTAATATATGATGTATTACACAATAATATATAGCAATGTATAAGTAGAGAAATAAAAATTATATATATATTTTTTTTAAATTTAATTTTATTTGTGAACATACTGTACAGAGGAGTTACAGTTACATGGGCAGGATAATGCGTACATTTCTTACCAAGCATTGCATCCTCCTCCTTTGTTTACCCTTCACATCCCTTCCCAGCCTCCCCCCTCCCCCCCTAATCCCAATCCTTCTCCTTCCCCCCCCCACCCCCA